TTCCTGTCCATAAGCATGGAATGTTTTTCCATTTGTTTGTGTCATCTCTGATTTCTTTGAGCAGTGTTTTGTAATTGTCCTTGTAGAGATCTTTCACTTCCCTGGTTAGCTGTGTTCTTAGGGGTGTGTGTGTGTGTGTGTATGTGTGCATGCGTGCATGCGTGTGTGTGTATGTTCTTCGCCTGCTTTTTAATGGGGCTGTTTGTATAAAACATGGTAACTTCGAAACAACTTATTTTTGTTTTTCCTCATCAGATCCACAGAATGGCTTAGTGCAGTTTAGATTTGTGAGTGCACAAGTTAATTTCTGCAAATAATTTCTTTTTCCTATGTAATTTGAAAAACAAATGTGAAAAACTCTGAAGAAGGCTGTGGTTACATGTGAAAACAGTGATGAGCATTTTTGGAGACTTTACTGTTAAGTCAAGTTGGTAAGATATAATGGTTTCATTCTACTTTGCACTAAGTAGATAAATATCTGAAATACTGTGACCAAGTATGAGAGCCACACATGGGACTTTGAAAATCTGAAGCAGTGTCAGTTTTAACCTAACAGGAGATGTTCTATTTTCAGATATATCCTATGTATAAGAGAGGCTAAATCAGTTGGTATCATCCAAGCAGGAGGGGAGAAATTTATGGAGCCTGATGGGTTCCTTCAGATACCTGACGTTCTCTCTATGCTGTAAAGGCTGCTTCACAGCATAGTGAACATCTTGCTGCTCAGTGTGAAGGATGAAGCTAGGACAACAACCTCAGATGATGGATGCCATGAAAGGGACATGATGAGTAGGAAGTTGGACTGTCCTGAAGATTCTTTCCAACTCTATGGTTATTTGTTATTTGAAGTTGAAATTAATGCCATTTGAAGAGTTACTTTTGTAAATCTATTACGAAATTTGATGTGCTCCTTGCCTGCTCCTCTGTTGAGATTTCAGCTATATTTTCCCATGAAAATTTCGAGAATGTTCACATGACTTTGGCATTTAGAGATGTCAGTAAGCTTACCTAGTGCCTGTCTATAAGCCTCTTTAACATCATATGCTGTCAAATTGCTTCACTTGTGGTCTTAGCAAGGTTAGAGCTGTTTCTTTCTTCATCCTCTGAGCTAGGATTTATTTCATTATTTTGAAGTTTTACAAAAACACACATACATTCCCAATGCATATCTTTTTGGCTCTTTGTGAATCTTATTATGTGTGTAAATTAGGGAATAGTTAAAAAAAAAAAAGCAAACCCATAAACAGTTCTTCAAGAGTAAGTAAATTAATAACTTTTTCTAATTAATCATTTAGAGGCTCTCCCTAAGAAGAATTTTGCTGGGTACACACGTCCACCAGCTCTGTCTCCCTTCTAGACACCCTCTTTTGCCCCCATTACCTTCTTTGTCACCAAAACAACAAGTTATATTTGCCCTTGAAATTAAAGATATTGCTGTCTCAGTTGTGCTTGCCTTCATCTAAATGTCTGCAGTTATATTCCAAAAGGCTATATGTTAATGATGTCTATATAGTTTGCCCTTCATAGCCATGAATTTCATGTGTACTGAACATGAAATTTTTTTTACAGACTTTTCTTTCTTGTTATTGTATCTTAAACAATACAGAATATCCACCATTTACATAGCATTTACATTGCATTAGGTATTATAAGTAATCTATAGATAATTTAAAGTATACGGGAGAATATGTATAAGTTATACGTGAATACTACAGCATTTTTTATCAAGTAGTTGAGCATCTGCAGATTTTGGTGTCCATGGGAGGTACTGGAACCAACTCCTATAGACACCGAGGGACAATTGTGTTTCATCAGGTTTTGAAACCAACCTAATTTTGGAATGGGACCTGAGATTGATAGCAGCAGTGTTAATTACATCTTCTTCTGAGGCATCCCAGAGATCCTCAGGCCTCAGAGGATCCTCAGATCCTCATCACCATAGGGTTATGGGGTACAACAGAGAGGAGGCCGTCAGGCCAAATAAGTGAGCAGCTCTAGGAAATGTATAGAGTCTCTTTTCTGGCTGTGGCTTAGCTGAGCATTCTTACCAGACCCCCAAATCCAGCCTGGTTCATATGAAAAAAGGTAAAAGAATCTTCATAATGTAGGCCATTTTTAGGCCTGTTTGAACTTAGCAGCTCATACAGGACAGGAGTATTAAATGGTGAAAGGGCAGTGTCCGCAGGAATAGCACTGCCAAACAAAACAGTTAACTGGATTCCTGGGGCACCAGAAATCTTCACGGCAAGATATCATAGTTCAAATTCATGGTCAAGAGTTGCAGTCCTACTTGTGCCCTTGGCTTGTGTGTGTTGGGGAAAGTTTACTTTTTAGGATGTGGGCTGGTGGGCCAGAAAAGAAAGCGATGCTATCTGCCTGTTTTAGAGGCCTACCTCTGCCCTCCGGGAAGCGTTTGTTATAGGTTTTTACAATTTCTGAATATATTGGTGTGGCTGTATAGACTTAAAAAGAGAAATGCTTAAGCTTATGTTTAATAAGAAAACGTTAAATGCAATTTGAATCTTTATTGCCCTTAACTTTCATGAGATACACGCGATTTTTTTTTTGTCCTTTTTGTTATACATAAAATTGTATTATCTTGCTGGCATTAAGTATTTGTAGAAGAGGAATACAGTACCTTATCATTTCCCTTTTTCCTCAGTTTTCTGTAAACATATGTGTACACACACAGCCCCCCCCCCCGACTTCAGGCAACCAATGTTGTCCTAGATGAGGCCGAGTGGATCGAGTCTGATCCACTCCCATTTGTTACTGTTTCTAGCATTTTCCTATTGCTTGGAGCTTCTCCCTTTTCCTCCCCCTACCCCAGAGAGAAAGATGTAACTTTTAATCAGCTTTTATGGGCAATGGAAAATAGGCGATCTAGCCTAGCCTTCTATAATAGAGCTTTCTGCAATTATGCCAATGTTCTGTACTAGCCCTGTCCAGTACAGTAGCCATTAGTCATATGTTGCTATTTTGCATTGAAATGTGGCTAGTATGATTGAGGTACTGAATTTCTAATATTATTTTATACTAATGTAAGTTTAAATCACCATATGTGACTAGTGGCTACCATATTAAACAGAACAATTGCCAAATAATTTATAGCATCAGAAAATGTGCTGAGCAAATGTACTAATCAGTAGATGCAACATTCTAAATACCTCTTTTCTATATTGAGCTAAATGATACTTAGAAGTAATGCAATATCATTTGTGATAGATGTTAAGATGATCATCAAAAAAGTTGAATAAAAGTCAATATCCGTCTAAAGCATTTGTAATTGGTTGTAGAGACCATTTTCTATTTTATGCTAGATGCTTTACATATCTGCTTTACAGCTATATCATCTATTATTTTCACAAGAATTCCAAGTTAGATATTATATTTTTTCATTTCAGGTAAGGCAGAAAGCTGTGGCACACCAATTTAAAATAACAAGCCAGGGTCACACAGCCGATAAGTAGTGGAGCTAAGTTTTGAACCCAGGTCAGGTTCTCCACTGATGCATTTCACAGTGAATATTTCCTACATGGTCTTTTAGGGCACTTGTGCAAGCCTCTCTAGCCATCATTTGGAAGTAGGGCAGGCGTGAAGAATGTGAGCCCTGGCACCACATTGCTTGTTTGAATCCTGCCTCTACTATTAACACCTGTATGAAGTTGAGCAACTTATTTAATATCACTGGGCCTCAATTTTCTCATTTTAATATGGAAATATTAAAAGTGCCCATCTTGGAGTGTAAATTAGTTCTAGATCTTTGAAGAATTACCACACTGTCTTTCACAATGGTTGAAACACAGTGTGGTAATTCTTCAAAGATTTAGAGCCAGAAATACCATTTGACCCAGCAATTTCATTACTGGTTATATACCCAAAGGATTATAAATCATTCTACTATAAAGACACTTGTACAGGTATGTTTATTGCAGACTATTCGCAATAGCAAATTCTTGGTACCCACCCAAATGCCCATCAATGATAGACTGGATAAGGAAATGTGGCACATATACACCATAGAATACTGTCCAGCCATAAAAAAGGATAAGTTTTATGTCCTTTGCAGGGACATGAATGAAGCTGGAAACCATCATCTCATTTTCAGAAAATTAACTCAAGCACAGAAAACCAAACGCCACATGTTCTCACTCATAAGTGGGAGTTGAACAATGAGAACACATGGCCACAGAAAGGGGAACATCACACACTGGGACCTGTCAGAGGGTAGGGGGTATTGGGAAGGGATAGCATTAGGAGAAATACCTAATGTAGATGATGGGGTGATGGGTGTAGCAAACCACCATGGCACATGTGTACCTATGTAACAAACCTGCACATTCTGCACATGTATCTCAGAACTTAAAGTATAATAATAATAAAAAGTACCCATCTTATTAGGTTATTGTGAGGGATTAACTAAGTTAATAGTATCTGGCACATTGTTTTAACTGTATATATTTGCCATCACAATGATTTTTAATTTAAAAGACACTGCTATTTATGTTAGGATGTTGATTTGGTATGATAATTAATGAAGTAGAGATATGCTTTGGGTGTGATTCCCTATGAAATAAGAGAGATTCTAATCATTCAGATAATTCGGGAAGAAACACCCTGCTGTTCAGCCACTTTGGTGTCTCCATCAGTAGGATTATAAAGTTTCAGAGCCCACATGCCCTGGCCAATTTCTTATATCTTTGCTTGTCATGTTACCCTTATAGACATCCCCTTTGGTGTCTTTGATTGATTCTGAATGCTGAGCAGTGACATGCACCAGCACAGCTGGAAAGGCCTGTAAGATTTGCTGTTCTGTCTTCCAGCAGGGAATTATTGCCATGGATACCAGTATCAGAGGAAGACTGGGGAGCACTCTCCATTCGCCTCCTGAGTGTCTGACATCTGTTTCTGGCACACCCAATAATGAGTACGCTGCCAACTTCATATCAAATGAGAGTCTGATCTATACCTCTTTTGTTTTTGTTTTGTTTTTATCACAGATGGCCTCTGCCCAAGATGCCAGGTATGGCCAGAAAGACTCCTCTGATCAGAACTTTGACTACATGTTCAAATTACTCATCATCGGCAATAGCAGTGTGGGGAAGACATCTTTTCTGTTCCGTTATGCCGATGACTCCTTTACATCTGCATTCGTCAGCACAGTGGGGATCGATTTCAAAGTAAAAACTGTATTCAAAAATGAAAAGAGAATCAAGCTTCAGATTTGGGTAAGTGGCTTTGAACTGGCAGTGTTCTTCAGGCTGGGGTGTTGAACATATCCATGTGGAAGGGAGAAACTTTCCATCTTGTTGTATCCCCATGGCATCCACAAGCCTCAATTTCCAGCCTCTTTGCTGCAGAACGTTCTGTTTCAAAGACAGTAGTGGTGATTACTCTTTAAGATACGAAGGGTGAATTATTATGCCTTGTTGTCATGTGGCACTCCTTAAGAGTCTACAGAAGAAAAAAACAAACTCCGAACCTCTGTCTTGTTGCCGGCGGAAGGAACTTTAAGTCTGGCTCTGTCCTTTATGATCTGTGTAACCTTGAGAAAGTCTGTGATTCCTCTGACATTTTCATAGTCTATAAAATAGGCTAAGTAGATCTAGCCTTTTAGGTCACAGAAAGCAGCCTTTCCTGGGCATTTTAAAGAAGATAAACAACCAAATATAGGAAAAGTATAGGTTTAGACCCTTCATAAATCTCCAGATATAATATCAAAGATGGTCTATTTATACTGTGCAAACGTTTTCAACTCTAAGAGCCATGCTTATATATGCAAACAAAACAAATGAAATGAAATATTTATTTCATTTATTTTATTTAAAACAGTCTTCCCAAAATAGTAAGTTCCCCTGAAGTTTTGAGACCATTTGGCTACCTGTTTGCCTCTCCTTACCTACAGAAGAAGATCAGAGGTAGCCAAACTGGTGGGTTAAATTCAGGAGACCAGTGAGCAAAAAACAGAGGAAAATATATGTAGATAGCAGGTCCAAGGTAATATAAAAGATGAAGCAACCAATTAAAAAAATGGTTACATGAAAAAAGACTGATGTAGTAAATATTTATTGACATCATAATATGTACATAGGCAGAATGTTTCTACAGTAAGTTTTGGTACCTTTTTTTAAAATTCCTTTATACCTCTGCCCCTCAAATTGATTTGATCTGTAATCAGGCATTTCCCAAGAGGTGTTTTCTACCTTCTTCAGAGACATTGCAGCAGGTACTACCATTTGGTGCTGGTACCAAGATCGATCTGTAGGGCTAACAGTCAGCCTCCATTCATAAATATGGAAAGCTGAAAACAAACAACAAACAGCAAACAGAAACAATCCCAGAGTAGATAATTTTAACTTTTAAAAAAAAGAAAACATAAACTTATTTAAAAATCTATATAAACTGAATGACCTTTAAATATCCTAAAGGTTTTATTAAAGTAGAAATTTAAAGTAAAATTTAAAGATGTAGGTATATACAGAGACAGGTACCTTCTTAGATAGCCTCAATAGGCCATTACTGTTTTACTTATTCTAACTCTGGAGTCTTTCAAATCTAATTATAATTCACATAAGAACTTGTACAAGTAGGCCTTAGGTTGAGCATATTCCCTGCTCCATCATTGCCCAAAGCCATTTTTATTGGGAGTGTGACTCTTCAGGAACTTGACCTCAATTAGTGTAGATACCAGTCACACACTCCTCTGTATGGCTGAAAAAGCTTTGTCCATTGCTTCATGTCTGTGTCCGGATTCATTCTTTTCCTTTTGAACTGTAGGCAACCCAATTGTTATATGATACATTTCATATTAAATTTTAAGAAAGGTCCCTTAATTCTCAGGGGTTTGGTGAATGGAAAATTAAATTAATTTGGAAACTATACATCCCTTAACTCCATGACAATGTTCTTTTTGCTAATATGAAAGAACAATCATTCCTCTGGTTGATAGCTCCACTTTTTCCCCTATTCTTTCTGTCATAGAGATAAATAAAAATAGTTGTTAGAATCATTTACATAAAACATCAACATGATGTGTTAAGGCAGTCTTGTAATTTCTAGCAAATTTTCAATGTAGGTCTTTGACAGAAATTCTTTGTTTGAGGTACAAAATGATATATCTTTAATGTAAATCATATGTATTTCAAATAATATAAATTATTTTTCGCACTTAAAAATCCTTTCCTTAAAACATTCAGTGCTGGTACCCAGGCCAGTGCTAATTCACTCACCTTTTTGGGGGCATTGAAATAAGTCATTTCTGTCTGTATCTCACTTCTGGATGAATGTAGCTCTTCTCTGAGCCAACCAAAGCTCAGATTCCTGAGCTGCTTCTACTCTAATACTGCCTCACGCTTCTCCGTTTCCTAAGTTCAAAATGTCTCTGAAATATCATTTTCTCCAGATTTGTCTCTAATCTTCCAAAATCTGCCAGTTTCTTTAAAAAAAAACCAAAAAACAAAAAACCCTTTAAGTCTATAGACAGTCAGACCTGGGACCTCATTCCAGGGCCTCCGTTCTCCTGCTCTGCAGTCACCCACACTTCTGTCAGGGTTCAGCCACTTGGGAATCCTTCACTTTTCCCCCCATGGTCAGTCACAATAGTAGATTAATGGCCATTAATACTGTTGCAATTTAAACATAATCCAATTTCTTTCTCTTTAGGTACATGTGTTCTTTATGTGCTCTTAAGGCACATCTGATTCTAGGAGTGTGAAAATTGGTTTTACAATAGTGTATACAATACTGTATACTATTATATATACTACTGTGGGTTATTAGGTTGTGAAACATTTAAAAGAAGCACAATACAAAGATTTTGTGCTTATCGAACTTGTAGTATAGTTATAAAGGGAAATTAATACTCATTGGATAATTATGTATTTCTACAAGCAAATAACAAATTTTATAAAAATAAGCATAGCTAGCATTTACTGAATATATACCATATGCTAGGCCTTATCTATGCCTTATCTCTAATTCTCACAACCCAACTTTGTATTTATTGCTATCCTGTTTTAGCTGAGAAATCTGAACATAGGACATTTAGATAAGTTAAATAGCTTGGTCAGGGCTGCACACGGTGAATGGCTACAAGGGGATTCCAGGCTAGATCTATCACATTCTCACATTCTAACACTGCTCTAATTAAGAGTCTCCCTGAGTTTGGTGGTGGTGGTTTCTTTCTTTTTCTTTTTTTTTTTTTGACGGTGGCAAACTTGAGGATACATCTGGGATGTTGAAAATGTTTTTGAAAGTGTTCAAATTTGAGGCATGCAGGAGAAGAGACAAGGAGGAGCAACAGTGGTATGCTTAAGTATAGGCATTCCTATGATAATTTTAGGGATCCTGGTATTACACTGTAATGTAAGTGTGCTGGAAAATATTTAGTTGCAGGTAGTTATGATTGTTTAACAACTCTCACAGATCACTTATTTGGAAATATATTTAGCACTGATGCCATCTCATTGTACTTTAATAACCAAGTAGTGAACTGCTCTTCCCAATTTACAGTATTTTTATGCATTTATGTTATGCGTATCTAATTCATTAAGATCCACATCATCTTAGCCTATTATATATCTCAAAGAAATGAAGCAAAATGGTTTCATAGTATGGAAACCATCGTGGATTAATAGTTATAACATTTTCTCTACCAAGACAGGTTTCAGACATTGATTTAACTTGGATCACTTTATTCATTTTAAACTGCCCCCAAATAGAACTGTTTCCAAGTTAGGAACCCAAGATATAGAGATGCTAAGTGATTTGACTTTACCTTACAGTTAGTACCAGAGCAGAGCCTAAAATCCAGGTTTCCTGCTAGCTGGGTTAGTCTGATTCCTACGACATTATACTTCTTCTCAAGGTAAGTGTTGTTTGGCAAAAATTGTGATAAATCTCAACCTGGTTGTCAGTGGAATCCTCCAGCTATAGAAAAATCAAACTTGAGATCAGGTTTCAAGTAGCATTTTTATTTTCATTGTTATTTTTATTTTTTGAGAAGAAGTCTCATTCTGTCCCCTAGGCTGGAGTGCAGTGGCACAATATCAGCTCACTGCAACCTCTGCCTCCCAGGTTCAAGTGATTCTCCTGCCTCAGTCTCCCAAGTAGCTGGGAATACAGGTGTGTGCCACCACACTGGTTAATTTTGGTATTTTTAGGAGAAATGGGGTTTCACCATGTTGGCCAGGTTGGTCTCAAACTGCCGACCTCAAGTGATCCACCCACCTTGGCTTCCCAAAGTGCTGGGATTACAGGCTTGAGCCACCATGCCTAGCCTCAAGTGGCATTTTTACTATGTCAGGAAGGAAGAGCTTGAGTGGGAAAGCTCTTCTTGTTTTCTACTTAATGCTTTGCTTTCTTGTCATGTGTTGCATAGGGATTTTCTGATTCTTCAAACTGGATTAGTAGATTTGCAATAGTCCACATTCAAATAAAGCATTTTAACAGGTAATATAGACACATTTATACTTCCTGAATGTGTTACACACCTCTGTGGAAAGAGGAAAGAATGGGAGAGTCAGAGGAAGCAGGTCATGGATTAGCTAGTTTGAATAATTTCTGGGCTCTGGGACACAGGGGCGATCCCCCAGTTGCCTGGCACTGAATTGGTCCTGGGTGATTAGGACAGATGGATAGTGGCCCAGCTTGTGAAAGCTGAATAATGGAGGTGGTTGGGAGTGTGTGCTCTGGATTGGTTGGCTTGCCTTTGGAAAGAGTGCTCCAGTGAGTTGTTTACTATCTCTGGAAACTGGCTAATCATGGGAGGGGCAGTCCCTCCAGACTCAGTGAGGCCCCAAATGTCAAAGAATCAGAATACAAAAAAATAAAACATATAAAAATAAAAGACATGGTTAATACAGAGGGAAAGTTATTGGAGCCCCAGGGGCAGTCTTTGTCACTCATTTCACTCTGACGAATGCTGTGATTCCCAACTCTCTCACTACAGGATTGGTACATTTTTGGGTCTCAGGATTTGGAGACCTAGCATATCGAGCCAGGAAAGGATCTGACAGATTTTCTGGCTCAACCTCTTCATTTGATGATACTATTCATAATAGCAACATTTATCAAGCCCAGTGCTGCCCCATAACGTAAGCACTTTACGTTTCTATGAGTTTTAAAATTTATTTTTTGCAACAACCAAATAAAGGTGGTATTATTAGCCCTCTTTTATAGCAAGGAAACAGAAAACCAGAAAGACAATGTGATTTGTCCAAGGTTATAG